ATCAGCCAGTATTTTTTTTTAAAGTTTAATTTAAAGCAATTTGACATGGAAAGGTTATTACTTTAGTTGCCAATAAAAGCTGTACTTTTAACATAAGTGTACACTAGACCCTAGGGTATGTGACTATTATCTTTTCTGCAATTATGTGGTGTTCTACATAAATGCTAAAAAAATTAGAAATATCAGAAGTATGAACTTAGATACAATATAAAAAAGTTGAACAGATAAAAACAGCACACTGGTTAACGTGACGGTAAAGATAGGTTAAGGTTTCCCCCTAAAGGTAGTATTTGGAACATCAGCCAGTGTTTAGTTATTGCAGGAATCCAGATTTTAAACTTGGCAAGAACACACATTCTGCTCAGAGCACTCTGTTTTACCCTCATTAACAATTAAGATACCAGTGAATCGGTTGTGCTACCTTCCCAACGTTTGCCATCAGGTCCTCTTCTTTTCCTAGTCTGCAGTGGGGCAAGACCTCCTCTCTCCCTTCCTTCCCACCCAGTTGCACTGAATAACCTCTCCCACGAAGGCTTCCAAAGAGCTCAGTGTTTGCTCTTCATTTCATGACATTTTGGTTGATCCTAATCAAGGTGTTGTCCTACAGCGGATTTAAGACTTTCTCTATTGTTAATGCTTCTTCTGCTGGCTAACCTGTATATTCTTTCCACATCAAAAATGGGGTTCTTGCTGTTGTAACGGCATGTTAAAAAGTTATTTTCTACTATTATTTCTATATAATGTAGCTTGAACATTCATATGCGTGCATTCCACAGAAGTCCAGTCTCTTCCTAGGCAAACTTCCCAATTCCATTCCAAAGTCAGAAGTGCCTAGGTGACCATCTGTTCTTTTTTACCTGGGATAATTGAGACCATGTTTCTTTTAAAGAGAAAGATGCCAAAGGTGAGAAAGTAGCAGTGGCTCTGCAAAAACAAACTCTCAGGGAGCAGAATGAGGAGACACACAGAGCATCAGTCTTCCCCATTGTAGAAAAAGATGCTGCAATTCTATTTAAGTTATCACCAATATTTATACGTCTGTATCTATGTATATAAGTTAGCAAATGCAAACCTGCTCTTTCTTCATGGGTGATGCATAAGTGGCTGCTTTGCTTCAGCCTATCACTGTTAAGCTGCATTTTATCTAAATGTGGATCTAGCAGACAGTTGCAAGGGTGGAACAGAAGGCCTTATTAAAATGGCTAGAAGATGGAGAGGTTCCAAACCATGTTGAGAAGGCAGAAAGGAGAGGACAGAAAAGGGCCTCTGTTTATGTGGCCAGTAACCCAGAACTTTAGTTGCAGGTCTCTAGCATCGCCAAGGCAACACTCAGTGAAATCAACAGCACAGAATTCCAGAAAGTGGAAGACAAAGCCAGCCATGCTCATGTGAAGCCTAGAGAATTTGGTGTAGATCAAATACAATACAAGGAATGACCTCATATAGACAACGGTGTGTAGGGTAATAGATCAATTTAATAAGGCTTCAGAATGATGTTAGAAGGTGGTCCGGGCTTCATTTTTTCAAGATTTCAATGTTAAAAGAATTCTTCTAAAAGTCTCTCCATATAAAAAAGTGGTGGGCCTTGCTCTGATCCATAAGTGATTCACGAAAGAAGACATGATCAAGCTCCCGTCTCTTCAACCAAAATACATAGTTTCTGAAATCATCACAGATGTTTCGTTGGGGGGTGGGAGGTTTATGGACATGATCAACCTCACAGCAGATGCCTCTGACCTCAGAAGCTTATGAGCATCCGGTGCAAGATGCAGTTCCTCTGCCACTGCTCCTCCGTGCTTCATGTTCTGCAGTTTATCTAGATGGCTTTTTCAACCTTTTAGATTTAAGGTCTGTGAGCAAGGTGGAAGGATGCCTCTGGAATCAACCAATAGAAGGACAACTCCGGCACCCACTGGAACCAGTGTAACTCCATAGGCCCAGCTTCATCATCTGGTCCCTGCCCCAGCATGCCCCTTTTCCGTCCTGCAAGGCCCAGTTGTGACGGGGGGTTGGGGAGCCAACACAGTTCTTTCCATACCAGCTGCAAGGTGTGGCTTTAGAGTCTGAGCATTCAAGTCAGAAGACTTCGAGCACGGACTCCAGAAAAATCCTACAGCCTCCTGGAGACCATATCAGGAAACCATAAAAAGGTCCCTTGTTTTATATAACAAGAACTCTCAGTTTGGTTCCATGTATTTTGCTCCCTGGAATTTGACGATCCATCAACTGTCACAAAGATCCAAAAACCCAGTGACATCTGTGACACCAGGATGTGGCAGATGGATAGTCATGGCAATATGTACGCAGGGGCATTCTAAGCAGGCTTGGACTAGCGTGCATAAGACTATTTTCCAGGCCATTCTGAAGTTATGGTGAAGTTTTGGAATCTGGCCAAGATCCATCCTTTACCACACATAATGTTTTATGATCTACAAGCTATGGTTTGGGGACTTAGATTTAGATACTCATCATGAATCCCAGTATGTGTACTTCTCCTCAGTCCAGAAAATTCATGGCATTCTAAAATAGCTGGCATATTTTAGTAGAAAGAGCTTGTCAAAAAGATGAGTTCCTATGATCACTGTGTTCACCATTATGTTGAAAAAGTGCACTCAAACAGGACTTTAAAAATATGAAGCACCACTGATTTACACAAGAGGATTAAGTTCTAGGGTCTTATGACTATATTGTGATTCATATAATAATTTTGCTGCAGATGTTTCCAGTTTTAAACTGGAGGAGTCATTATTGGACACAAAAGAAGGCTTCACTCCTAATAGTCTGCTTACTCCCTAGTCTTTCCACTATGTCTGAAAAAATAAGACTTTTGATTATTATAATGTCAATTGCAAATGGTGGGTTATGTTTCAAATTAGCTGAAATTTGTTATTTTTCCCTCTTAGGTAGGGGCTAAAACAAGCTGCTCACAAGAGGTCCAGCCACAGTATACAAGTCCCATGAGACTTAGTTGGAAGAACTCCTTATGAGTTCACTCCTGTTTGTACATTGGGATGAAAGGCCAGCCTCGGTCATGGGAGAATCAAACCAAGTTTTCCAAAGCATGACACAATATGATGGAAGTATATGGGACTCATAGAAAATGGTTTTGTGAGCCCAGAAAAATAATAAAAAATTCAAGCTCTTAATGGTTTCACTTGAAGCTTTACTGGGAGTTGCTGACTCCAGAGGCCAAATCGTAATGCCTGGAAGAAGAAACAGATCAGGGAAGCAGAAGTGGAAAGTGAAGGGGAGTAGAAAGTGATGGAGGTGGTACAGAACTAGGCTGAGGCCTGCCCGTTTGCTCTCTCCCACAAATCGATTCAGAATTTGCTGAGAACCAATAGTACCTCAGCTAAATGTCTGTCATTGCAGGACTGCAGACTAAGATTGGTTAAACATGGCAAGCCAATGTGAAGTCCACAGGAAATCTGCTGTAGGAAATTTAACGCCTGCAGAGCAGATTTCCCCTCACTCTGAGAGATATTATGAGCCCACCAGTAATAATCACACACAGGGCTGCTTGAGGAATTACAACACTGAGAATTACAGTGTGATCTAACCTTGAGTTAATTCCTGGATCCATCACCTGCAAGAGAAAGGGTTGCACCCAGAGAAGTTATCCCTCCCCAATTTTGAGAATCTCTCTTCCCCTCCATACCACAACTATTCCATTTCCATGATGCTCTGTGAAGCAGCTTAAGGATACTGGACTGCCTCCCCTGGGAAGGAAGGAGTGAGGGGAGTTCACTTCCATTAGCACAGTCGATTTGATTTAGATCAGGATCCAACCCAAGTCCTGCACCCCCTCAACAAATGTGTTGACTGGAATTTAGTTATGTATTTGCTTATGTGTTGTCCAAATTTTCAGACACAAATCTTGGCTCAAAATGATTTTAAAATATGTTTTAATGCATCTTTTGGGGAAAAAAAAACACTTTGACATGCTCTTGAGATAAAATTTATTTTGAAATGTGTATTTGAATACAATTCTGTGCTAATCTTTAACATTGCAGATTAATCTAGAACTGGATAGAATAGACTTCTAAGTGAACACATACTCCTCCCCTCAAAAATTGTTTTTTTAAGGACCCACCCTTTCCTTGCCACAAGCTATGAGTGGCAGAAACAGCTCCATGAAAGAGAATTAGGGTGCAATGGAAACCTTGGCACTGCACCAAAAACAAAGCACTTCTTGAACACAACAAATCAAAGCAAATAACAATAATGATATGCAAAGAAAAATAATAAAACTAGCTTTGATTTTGTAAAGGCACAATATCTTTCCCAGACCTCTTACAGGAATTGCTGGAATAATTTGAATTTTGGGAGGGAAAAAACTACCTACAGTGATTGAGCATCGTCTACTTACCCAAGTCAAATTCCCGCTGCAGGAATTGATTTCATATTTCAATTACAGCATTGCTTTCTTTTCTCTGTGTGTCTGGTTGTGTGTGTGTGGAGGTGGTTGCATTTGTTGTTACAAATATTGTATATAGTATCATCAATGTCTCTTGATTACTTGAAGTAGTAACTTAAGAAATTCCAAGTCTGAGCACAACAGATTGCTTTATCTATTGGCTAAAATGTAAGATGACTCCTTCCTTCCTTCTTTCTTTTTTAGCACAAAAATGATTTGTCCAATGGCAATGCACAAACAGTTTACACCACTGAAACAAATGGGGCCAAAGAGAAAAGCAATTTTAGCTAGTACCGCAGTCATTTTAGGTCTGCTTTTAAATGTGCAGTACTTCTGTTCCACATGTTGATTTTTACGAGGCAAGAGCAATGGGCAAGTGAGTTAAGAAAAAGCAGCTGCTTGATAAGAAACAGCTGAAAAATATCCCTATTTTAAAAAATATGAAAAGAAAACATTATGGGCATTTCAGTGTAGACGCTGACCACTAGCCACTTGTGTAAAAGTTGGATGTGAGCAGGGAGCCTCTCTGTGTGCTTGTCATTCTTCTGAGCGTATTGAAAGCACTTTCCGATTCTCTTTCTTTCTACCACAGGCTTTGCCCTCCCTCAATGGCTAAATTGTGGCCAGTCATATAATCGGAAGCTTCAGATGCCAAGTATACAACAGCAGCTTGCAAGTCGGTCACTTGAGCCAGCCGCCCAGCCGGGATGTCTGCGAGCCAGCGCTGCACAAGAGGCTTCAGCTCCTCCGAATGGATGAGCGGTGTGTTCACGATCCCCCTGGAAACATACAACCGCGTTATGGCATCTTGCTTTCTTTCCTTCCTTCTTGCTTCCCTCCCTCCTCCTTCCTTTCTGACTTTCTTTCAGCAGCACCCATTTACAGAAAGCCCACGAATACTACCTGTCATATAGAAAACAAACAAAGAAAACAAATAGCTCAGCTTCCATGGCTATCAGCAAACATGATCTTCCCTAAATATCCTTTGAGACAGGTTTTAAAAGGCCCATCTTAGTTATCAGTCTTACATTCCATCACTGAATCTTTCATTTAATTCCACATTAGTGAGACATTTGTTAGCATCATGCTTCAATGGGGGGAAAAATCACCGCAAAACCATGCATATTGTCTGACTGAAAAGTTTCTTGCAACTGGTTGCCTACACATTTTTGGAAATGGATGTATCGATTATTCTGTTCATCCATACACAACACAGAGAAGATTCTACAATATGTTAGCACACAGTTCAGCAAATCCACCCCAATCAAACTATTTCAAAAGGAATTAAATCCCAGGATCACATCTTGGTGGTTATTTTTTAAAGCTGTATTTAAAATTAACTTCATGTTAACCAGGACTATCTTGCAAAGGAAATGACATTTATTTTAAAACGTGTGTGTGGTGCAGGTGGCAGGGAGGGGGGACCTCAAAGAATTGCTTCAGTTTGTATATTTTCCCTGCATGTAACAGAAAATTCATCAGGAAGTTTTCTGAAGTTTCTTTATTTCCCTGGGAATGAATGGGAACCAGAGAATCCACAGTGCAGCAAAAACAGTTGGTAGGTGTTTAGGGCTTTCAGAATAACCGATTTGTCATTCCTCCTCCTTAACAATATATTTATATTTTGTGAAATGTTATAATTTTTCCCCCAGCCCCTGTATAAATATATTTACATAACTGTGCCTAACAAGAAATTACATTTAACTTCTCAGAAATGACAATAACTAAAACCTGAACTGCCAATTCCACTTCATTAGTGTGGTAGAAATGCATTCCAAATGTTAATAAAAATTCCAACATGCTGATAAATTAGCGCTTCTAAGGAGCATGTGACACCTTGGTTAACATATTCAACCTCAATTATATTTCTCTTCAGCACCCTGTTATCTGGAACCTTTGCTGGCAATCAGAGGTGCTGTTTTTCAGCGGCCAATTTTCTAGATAATGTAGCTTATCAACACTGTGGGTAAACTTGCCAATGAAATCAGGCTGCACTGAACCACACACCCGCTAATTGCATCTCTTTTTTATGCATATTTACAGACTGTCACTTCAAAGAAATCAGTGGCCCATTGAGGCACCCAGTTAGCTGGAAGAATTGCCTCTTGCAAATGAAAATTAGCAAACAAGCTAGTGATAAATATGAAATGAACAAAGTCTCAAAATGCCGTTTTGTTCTCAAACTTCATCCTCATCCCAATTTATACTTCCAAATAGGTTTTACAAACACATTGAATTATGGGAATGAGATCACCCTTCCCATACTTTTGTTTTAAAAGAAAGTCTGTTTACTGTGCTCCTTGATTAACATGATTCAGACATTGCTGTCCTACCCATGTCATTTTTAAAATAATAACACTAACAACAAGACTAGCATGGGCACCTTCTAAATTGCATCCTTCCTTGGTTTTTCCAGACTGAAATGGACCATATAAACAGCATAGCTGCACCTACAGAATACTGTGCAAGCCCAACCTTATTGACCTCTGGCCTGCTACTACATTCCAGCATAATGTTGCAATCACAAAATTATTTCCCCCAAGCACTACCCTGCTTCCTAGGCTGTAGCACATGCTTGCTGAGAGAACAAATTGACTTTCTTTTGCAAAAATAACAACAAGCTTTATCTACAGTCGCTTTGCATCCATCTTCATAGATGACTCTCTCTTCATGCACAGTGGATAAAATGATGCTTTGTCTGGATACCACAACTACCAGCACCACTGGGATGGGGGTAGTGGGGTGTCTACTTGGGGCTTTTTTCCCCAGTGTGGCAAGTGCCGTACAGGGTGCAAATGCAAGATCCAAATGAGGCTTTTATTACTGCTTTGCTTTACTTGCAATACCCATTTTTGAGCCAATCCCAGCTTTGGAAGCTTGTACTAGCCTGGTTCCCACAATCAAGCAGCCCTCCATGACACTTGTGCACACACGAGAGCGGCCAGCTAAATATTAAATATTACAGCTGGAGATGCAGGTCGTCATGTCCTTCAAATGTGGCTGAATCAGGCTGTGCAAGAATTAAATGACCCTTGAGTAACCCATCCTTTTTTCCAGGGTTGTAGGAAGGTTGTTTAACCCTGGCACAACCTCCCCCCCCCACACACACACACACATACACTCAGGTTTGGATAATCCAACAAGCCATAGCCATGGCTTAAATATCCAAAACAAAACAAAACAAAACTTCCAGCATGTCCCTGTGGCTTAAACAGGCCACTAAGGGCAGAGGGGATCATGGGAACAGGGTCCCGTCACATGCCGTTCAGTACTGTTTTCCTTAGAAAGTGTGAGCAAGGCATGACACTGTGCCTGCTCTGGCAGGATTTTGTTTCCCACTAAGCACATATTGCTAGTTTACATCAGATAAACTCTCTGGCTTTGATAATAATTTAACCCAGGACAAGATATAGATCCAATAATCAATTGGGCAATAGATAGATAAAAGGTAAATTTGCTTGAAATGTTCATTTCATCGAAGAAAATGTCATTAAAAGGAATGGTCATTTCAAGGCTTCAGCTCAAGAGATCCAGACAGTTTTCTGTAACATGTGCACATATATGTGTGTGGGGAGCATACAATCGTCTCTAGAAAATTGTTTGAATAATTAGCAAGTAGGGAGCAAGAAGGGGGAGAGAGATCCATCTTAGTTCCCTCCCTCAAGGGTTCCTGTCATGAGGAGGGACTTCTATGATAAGATCTTTGAAGTGCTCATCGGTTCTCAAATGGGGCTGAGAAAAGGAAGATGTGAACTCTTCAACTCGAGCATCGGAGTGTCTGCGTTCCCCCCTCCCTCTCCCATTTAACTAACTAAAGCAAGAAACCCAATTTCAGGAAGCCTGCCAAGCAAACAGCATTCACTGTCCAACAGTCCTAAGGCTCGTATCAGCCAATGTCTCCAAGCACAGGCTGTTTCAGGGAAGGAAGAAATGAGATGGCTATTTCTGAAATTAAATGCACTATTCCTTCGTTATATAACTTTTTTTTTAACATACACAGATTATAATTCAAGTCCTCCTGTTAATTACGCAGGCCTGTAGAGAAGCGAGAAATGTCAGTTTTATTTAGAAGACCATATAATTCAGTATGAGTGTCCTTTGTTAATAAATAAAAACGGGGGAAATATCAGAACAAAGCATACAGTTGCAAAGACACATTCTTGTTGTTCTATAAATATTAGTCATGCCCCAATACGGCACATCTTCTGGGAGAGGCTCTGTGCCAGGATGGGCAATTTAATGCTGGAGATGGAAAAAACCCTTTTAGGCAAATTTTAGTTGGCTCTTAAACATTCTGAGCAGTGACAAGTGCCAATGCATTAATTTCCTGTCTCATCTGGAAAGCAGTGCTGGTGCATGACAGTCAGGCAGTGGGTTCTCTAACACGAGGTGCCGAACTGGCGTTTTGTTTCCTACAGAGAGTCAGATTTTAAGGCTCGGGTGGCCCAACACAGTCCCCGCTTTGTGGTGCTGCGGATGCACTGTTGATGTTGTTCGTGTTGTTTTAAAATGTGCCGCTTGTCAGCTCCTCTGCTGAAACAGCTTCCGATCCCAAAGTGAGGTGTAGGGAGATTCCATCTGTGTATAAGTTGATTTCTTTCAGATGAGTTATTAATTTGAATGATTTAAGTACACTTCATTTACTCAGGAAGTGTTTAATCAGTAAAATCCACTTAATTGGGACATCTCCCAAGAAACTCGATACAAGCCCAGAGATATTTAAGAGCAACTGCTGTTGTTTAATGGGGATGGGGATGCTGGTTAATTGGGATGCCTTTAAGTGATAAAATGGTGCTTAGTTCTTCCCTCTGGCGTATTGTGATGCCAGTTTTATCTGTGCACAAAATGTGTTGTCCTCTTCAGTGTTGAGATGTATCCCACACTAAAGTCCCCTTAGCATGCTAGATCCCAGGCTGCTGCTTTTGTTTGTCCAGATTAGAAACCCATCGGCATGAAAGATGCACCAGGCACTCTCATTCAGATGTTCTGATGAGATGATGATGGCACGTAATAGGAAGCAGACATTGCAAATAATGGAACTCCAAGGTGCCCTATAGCTCACAGTTCATCAGGAAATGAGGCCTCTTTTGCTGGCAGATCCACAGAACATGCTACCAAGCAAATACAGAAGCTCATCTAGAGGTTTGATTACAGTCTTGTTGCAAACTGCAGCTCACAATCTTCGGAGGCATTCGCCATGAGACACGAGTGCACAGTTCTGGGCAATTCCCAAATCCATCCTTTTCTCAGACCACCTATTTGCCATACCCCTTCATAAGATCCCCAGCAACATCTGTTCTGGAAGTCACTCCAGTGTTAATCCACTCTTCTGGGCGCTCAGGGCAGGATCCAGCAAAGTCAATCTGCTAATACAAATTACATTAAGCTGCCATAAAGAACCTCTCCTGCAACACCAATAGCATCACCTTGCATGACAGATTTTTGCCAGAAATTCCATTATGCAAGCTAATGTTATTGACATTGTGCTGGAGGACCCTTTTGACAGCACAGTGTAATTTGTCTTATGCTGTACAATTTATGCTGTAAAGCTCAGCTACACCCTCATCTTAATTGGTCTTTCCAATTGTGTTTCCTTCTTTTTTCATCGATCTACCATAGTTTGGAGGACATAAAGACCTCTGTGTTGTTTTATGCATGAATGGAAACAAAATATAAATGCACAATAATGCATTAGATAACACTTCAGTGCTGAAATAAATCTAGCCATGAGGTATCTCTAAAGGAAGCCTTTACTTCTCCATAATAAGAAATGCGGATG